TTTCTCTGACTGTTAATGACGTCTTTACCTTGAATCCATTGGATGTTGGGTGTGTACTGATTGATATATTAGTCTCAGATGCATGCTTTGTTTTATTAGTTGTTATTGGCTTTAAACTAGCTGTCAGTAACTACGAGTTCTCTCAGAACTGTACTAAGTGTCTTTATTTGGTTAGCGATGCTGGTTCATGTCTGTCATATTTGTTTTTCGTAAATTGTTTTGTAATAAATTAGGCCGTTTTTTTTCAATTCATTTGTATCATATTTTTCATGACGGATAAAATTGAGAATGGAAATGGGGAATATGTCAAAGAGACAACAACCCGACCAAAGAGCAGATAACAGCCATAGGGCACCAATGGGTCTTCAACGCAGCGAGAAAATCCCGCACCCGGAAGTGGTCCTCAGCTGGCCCCTAAATACAATTGTGTACTGGTTCAGTGCAAATGGACGTCACACTAATCTCCAAAACATATAAAGGAACTAAAATTTATAAAAAACATACAAGACTAACAAAGGCCAGAGAATCCTGATTTGGGACAAGCGCAAAAATGCGGCGGGGTTAATCATGTTTTGTGAGATCTTTTATAGCCGACAACACGATATGAATTTTTCTCATTGTTGAAAGCGTCCGGTTGCCTATACGTGCTACTATTCACTTTATTTGAACTTTGGTGGATAGTTGTCTCATTGGCAATCATACCACACCTCATTATTTTTATATAGTTAAATGTCATAGAAGGCCAAAAAATAGCATACAAACATAGAAAAGCTATTAATCTGGATGTCCTGTAGAATTGTTTTTTTTGTTCAAGATAGCCGAAAACAGACAATTGTTTTGCTATTTTTTGGCAAGCCGGAAAAAATTGCCACTGCCTAAATCAAATAACTGCTATGTTAAACTTAACCAAGTAAAAATGATAAAGAGAGTAAAAGATATCAAAGAGAAAGCAAACTCATCAGTCGAAAATAAAATGACAACACCATGGCGATAAAGGAAAAGGACCAAAAAGACAAACAACAGTATACAAAACACAACATAGAAAACTTAAGACTGAGCAACATCAAGTCCACCAAAAATCGAGGATGATCTCAGGTGCCCTAGGAGAGTACGCAGATCCTGTTTCACACGCGACAATATCACTTTCTAATTGTACATTATGTTTGTCTATAGATAGATATAAGAAGATGTGGTATGAGTGCAAATGAGACAACTCTCCAATCAAGTCACAATTTGTAAAAGTAAACCATTATAGGTCAAAGTACGGCCTTCAACACGGAGCCTTGGCTCACACCGAACAGCAAGCTATAAAGGGCCCCCAAATTGACTAGTGTAAAACAGGAAAACAAAACCATTCAAACAGGAAAACCAACGGTCTAATCTATATAATAAACGAAAAACACTTATGAACCACATCAACAAACGACAACCACTGAACATCAGGTTCCTGATTTAGGACAGGTGCAAATAAATGCAGCAGGTTTAAACGTTTTAATAGGCGTCAACCTATAGACTTGGATATTCTGTTGATAATGGATAATAACCATAATAACCACTAAAACTATACTGATAAATGTTTGTGTTGTTTTATATTTGATGGCTTTGCTTTGCTTTTAACCCTACCCCAACTTGTGATTTTTTTCCAAGAAAAATTGAAATTTTAAACCAAGAGCGATCTAGTTTTCTGCTGTCATGCAAATATCATATTTCTAGAATTTCAATCAATATTGTTGGGTCAAATCAACTATTATCTAACAAAAGAAAAGAAACATCACTTTTTGATATCATCACTTCGTTACGGCATTAAATCTTTATCGGTTGAAAGGCTGAATATGGCATTAGATTAAACATAAGAGGGACACACATTAAAAGATACCACATATACACCTGCTGACATTCCTTTAAAACACGCTTGAACAATAAAGATCAATGTATCGTTGTCGTAATGTATGCCGATAGAAAACTTTCCTCTCACACTTCAAAGGAATTTTGTATCACAGGAAATATTTAATAAATTTATTTAAAACTTTCAAGTACTGAAATTATAGATGCTATTTCATGGATTTAAAAGGATTTTACTACGATCTTTAAATTTGATGTAATAAACATATTTCAATCTTATTAAAATAATGTTCATTAATAAGTTTCATGTATGTTTTATCAAGGTAACATTAAGGGTTCCAATTTTACTGCATCAGAGGCACAATTAGACAACTAATATAATTTTTTTCTCCGATCAATTAAAACTTTTTTTTTACTTTTACAGGTTTTAGATTTCGCAATCTCCAGTTTGCACATACATAACGTTTGACAGAGTTTAAAGCACAGACATCATTATGGTAAATCTGAAAACAAAACGATTACAAGACAGACATTCCCACATTGCTAGTTAACATACAATTTATGTACATGTACAGTCATAAGATCCCTAAAACTAGGAAATATCATGCATATTGTACAAGAAATATGCTATACCTAAAACGTATTGTAAATTATAGAAAAAATAATTGCAGAAAAAAATCAGCAAAATCCTTCCACCCATTACAAAACAGTTTTTTTCAATGGACTATCTCAGATCACGTTTAAGTACTCAAATAGTCAAAAATTTATGTTTGGAGTGAATGCAACTCTAAATCATCTTTCAAACAATTTTATAAAATGAATAAATTCTTTTAGTTAACATCGTTAAACATCCAGAATAAGAACTGACACACGAAGTGCTATGCGACACAAAGGAAACTTAATACAGCTAAATTCGTCTAAGGTCATTATTGCCTCGGGGAGTCGGAACCTTGGTTTTTTTAATAATTGTTTGATTTATCAACGGAAAATTTGACGAAAGTTGTACGAAGTTATCTCATTACCGAAGCATTGACTATTGAGTTTATGATACCCCGGGGCTACTTAACAGTCTACCAGCGGTGGTATCGACCCATTTGTAGTAACTGAAAATAACATTATTAATTCATTCGCCCGACAATTATTATCAATCTACCTCTATCAAAAATTAATAGGATGTATAAGACCTTCAAACGCAAAGTAAAGAGTGACCACAAATTATCTTTAAATAGCCAAATGGATCGACGGTCAACTTTGCCTGCTGAGTCTATGATTTAATGGTAATTGTTTTTGTTTTTTTTTTGTTTATTTTTTGGGTGTTTTTTTTTTAAGTTTTGTTTTGTTTTGTTTTGTTTGTTTGTTTGTTTTTTTGTGTGTGTGTGTGTGGGGGGGTTATGGAATTAAAAAAACAAACAATGTTAGCATTAATATTATAGACACAAAGGACTAGCTGGTTTTTTCTTTACACATACACACAACACTGTTTTTATTTTGAATAACGACGGAAAATTTAACGAAAGTTGTTAGAAGTTATGTCAGTACAGAAGCACGGACTACTAATTTGATGATGCCCTCACCCCATTAACAATGCCACCAGCAATGGTATAGACCCAGTTGTAGAAAAGGAAATTAACAGTGTTAATTCATGTGTCCGAAAATTACCTTCATCACAAACACTCAAACCAACAATTGAAAGGCCAAGTATGTATAAAACCTTAACACCAATAGACCACAAGGGATCTACAATAAACAAAATTTATCGAAATTTAACTTTGCCTGATTAAGATAGAACCTTATTTTTTTCATTTCTTAAAAGTGTCTTTATCTATCAAAGAAACATGTAGGAAAAAGTGTAATAAATTAGGCATTGTATTCCTGTCCATTAAGAATGTTTGCATGTTTTATTTTGCTTCCATTGAGATTATGCATGTACCAGTTCTGAAAAAAACAAATATCATAAACTGGGTTTCGCATGAGGGGAATCTATGATAAAATGTTTTTAATAACACTACTGTGTTTACTAAATAAAATACACTTAAACAGGTAATGTATTTAAACAGGAATAGTACAAGCAAACTTGTTACATGAATACATTTTCTAGTAATTTAAACAATCTAGGTGTAAAACAGAATTATTCTGCCTTCTCGTTTGCATCAATTCTAGTGATTAAATTAGTATCAATTATCGCTAATTATATTATTAGCTCTTATACAAATAATTCCGAGCATTCCTTTAAATCACATATAACTGAGTATCGGTAATTCAAATGTTGTTTTTAAATCGATGAGGTGGTTTAAGGTAAATCAAAAAGCAACAATGGATAATCTTAAATGAGCAATCAGTCTTTTTATTCTGCTTAACAGCCTCGTTTAATCCTGTAATTAAAACAATCAAAAGATATAATCTTAGCTTGCATTAATGATCAACTGAAAGGTGGGCTTCATTTTATCTTGTTCGTGTTCAGATGAAAAGCTTTAAGTGTAGCCTTTAAAAAGACAAAATTTTAGTCTGGCCGAAAATTTATAAAATTTTAGCAGTTTTAACAAAACATACAATCATTGTATCTTAGAAAACATATTGTAAACGAAGATACAATTTGAGTCTTTTCAGACAGTTATTTTAACAATAATTACAGGCTTTTTACCGTAAGAGCACGGATTTTTAGGAACAACTAGTTGAAGCACGCTTAATTCACAGGACAAGACTTTTGTAAAGTGGAGGAAATGACTGAACACCCAGCATATCCAGTGATATTATTTTTTTTAATATTTAGCCTGACACAATAAAACCAGGTACCCAACTGACATAGTTGGTGTTTGCTTACAATACAATGGTTGGTGTCGCTAGAAAAAGGAATTAACGAAGATACCTTAACTATGTCTAAGTATGTGCAACCTATTTATCTGTATTTATGTTTTGGTATTTCAGATATTTGAAATCATTTAATAATTAAAAGAAATTGATCGATATCTCTTCTTCGTTTAAATATGTTTTTAAGCTTTTTGTGGCATTGAGTAAATATCAATTAGGTCTCTAACACCATGAACACACTGTTTGCGGATTGAAAATCCTGATGATATGTAACAGACCGGTAAAAATACACCCGTGAGAAAGATACGCTAAAGTAAACACATTATTTTGTCGGTATTAAAACCCGAAGATTCACGTTTAAATATTCAGTCAAATAAAGGTTGATACAATCCTAGTTCTGATTGAAATGGAAGTAAAAGTTTTGTTTTGTTTGTGTGTTTTACTGCATTGCATACTACTGGCATCGTGTAAGTATTCTCGTGTACTGTATTATTTCGCAAGATTAAATAGAAATTTAAACAAACATAATTGTGAGATCCACGTCATCTGGGTTCTGGTTAGTAGTTGTCTCATTACCAATCATACCACCTATTCGTATTTAATATTAAAAGAATCGGGAATGCAAATTTTAAATGGATTACAATTACTTTTACTTTAAATAGGTGTTTATTGAGATGCGACTTTATAAAGTACAAATTGAAGTGACGTTATACAATCTCTTGTAAGAGTCCTAAAAGTTTTTCTTTCTTTTTTGGGGGAAGTGAGAGGATCGTTCATATCGAACCAATAACAAAACATGTATGGGTATTGAGGGTGGAGAGTGTTGCAACTAGAGGTCGTATTCTAAATGTTTACACAACATGATAGAATTTACAAAAAAGGTCAAATATATATGTAAATTTGACGACGAACATAATGAAATCAAGATACTGAATAAGCGCGCGGTAACACAATCAACCGGTCATGATTTTTTAAATATTAAGTAAAAGAGCTAGACATTTGAAATCAAGATATAAATTGCGTGATTAGTTTGTATTGGTTTTTCTTGATCTGATTTCTAATGCGTTACTTATGTTTTAATTGTTTTCTGAATTTTTAACATGAATACATCTAACACTCAACATTCCCTTTTTTCGTTTTCGTTACTTTTCTTAATAATTTCGATTGCGTGTTTCGTTCATTTCAAATTTCATTCATATACGAAATTGACTGGTTAAAATCGTATAGTGCTGTAAACGTGTCAGTTTATGAATGAACGTTTACATAATATATCAACGATGGTATTATTCTAAATCGAAATTAATCCATTGTGTTTCATAGACAGATTTCGTACTTTAAAGATAACTACATTACGCATATTTTTCATCATCTACAACACTGACGACCCTCACTCCTATCATACTGGTTAAATCATTTAACATGCACTTAAATATAATTACACAATTTTGAACCGTTAGATGTATGTACAAAATAGTTTTTTCTGGCGTATTAAACCGTATTGTTTAAATACTTCCTGTTAGACTGTCTTATTAACAAGATGAATATATTTGTTAACCAGTTCACGAAGTGTGATCGCTATCTTAATACACATACAGTGAAACTTGCGAAAACCGAACCTTGATTAAGCCGAATTTCTTTTAAATGTCGGAAAAAATAGCACATTAATTAGTTGTTCAATGTTAATAGAGAGCAGACACGTCATGCAGTGTTGGGAACGTTGTATTACATTATTTAAAGGTGGTCATGTGACATATTGCATTGTTTTTATTTAAACGCAAGTAGTGGTGTCGAATGTGTGTGTAAAATAATAATTACTACTACAAGTTCAAATGATAATTATATATGACATGTATGAGTTAATTGTGTTGACACATACTTGAAAATACAAACTTTTCTCACGACAGCATATTTCCAAAACAAATTTGAAGTTAACAAACGATGAACAATTCGGTGAGTTGTCTATATACAGTTGTTGCTATATACATCAAACATTATGTTTCCATTAGAAATTAAAGCTGTGGGGTTTTATATCAACTTGAAAAAATGTGTTTACAGAAAACGAACATGCATTACGCTTCAAACATACTGTTTTCATCTGCGATTGGCCTTAGATACATTTAAGAATTCCTCGTATACACCTTATTGAATGACAATTAAAACATATTGCAATGCAAAACAGTCCGTTATTTTGTATAATGTGTTGATCTCGTAAATACGTAAATATCGTTAGTGTATACAATATTGTATACAACTTACAGTAACAAAACCTTCCAATTAAACTGAAGTTCAAAGGATATCTCCTTTTAGCCTTTTGCTTGAAATGCAATAAATAGATAGTTCAATTTGAACAGAGTCATATTGAGATATAATTACTAATATTGTTCAACCATTTGAACATAGTTTGATTATATCAAAACAGTTTCGATTTATAACATTCAAACAGAAGAAATTGCGTTTTTTTTTTGGTTCATTTATATGGGAAAAATATTGCATTTAATTTAATTAATAACACTCATCCAATATCAACAACCATTTTTTTTTAGGAAACAATGAAACGACAGGCTCCTGACTTTGGACAGGGCCATACAGAATGAGGCCATATTAAAAATGTTCGAAAGCACCAACTCTCCCCTTACCCTCCCCCTACTTGTTTTCTTATCAAAATGTCCCATATTAGAAAAGACTATTACAAAGGTCAAACGAAGCAGGGTATAACTTTTTTTTTAAATTACGCATGTCAAAAGTAAAATAACAAAAATACCGGAAAAGCTCAAACACATCTTACATAAGGTAACGCAAACGTAAACGTAAACGTTTTTCGGATATATGTTCACTGCGAAATAATTAGGACATGCTATCCCCGTACCAGCTACATGGGTGCATGTCAAAAACGTTATTTATAATAATACTCTGATGTTGAGTTATAGGCTTTACATTAGTGATAGTCACACACAACAGTTTGGCGTATGATATTTAATAAACATGCTCAATATTAAATCTACAAGTATAATCTTGTGTTCAGTATAGATGTATTGAAACTACACTATACAGATGAAAATAGTTTATTTTCAAGATTATATTAATTGGTCCGTTTTGAACACCATGTCGGGACCTACCCTTTTACACAAATATACAGCACCATTGAAGAAACCATGTAAAAGTAAACCAAAGAAGGACAAGGTCCTCAATTGTCTAACAGTATAAGTTAAAAGTTCAAAGTTCTTTATTTTCCAATCAAGTGCCCCTGACGGGACATAATGACAGCAATTAACAATACATTCTCATTCATAACACATAAACATATAAATGAAGATAAAATTGAAATTCACATAAAGTGGCTGAGATTATAATTGTCTATCATAGAAAATATATAATCATATAAAATATTACTGCACAAAAACAAGCATTGTTTGATATATACGTTAGTTTAGTTCTTTCAAAGTTTCATATCATTGATTTTACTGCCATGCCAGACTGCCAATACAAATAATATAATCATTTTATCATATAGTTTGCCAACAGAGGTCCACCTTGTCTCTTATCCAGAAAAGCAAGTTGAAGGAATAAATAATACAAGTCACTAAAAAGGAAAAGAGACCAGGGGCAAATGCACTTGGACATGTTAGCAAGTGTGATTTTAGACACCGTCTTAACCTCCTCGTGACTAGTGCACACACGTTTTTTTTTTATATACTTGTACTTGCAACCTTAGGCGTTACTGTTTGATGTGAACTTGACTGATCGGTAAATGATCGATGACCCATAGAATCCGTCAGATAAGTCAAATAAGCTATGTGAGAGTTACTGTGACAACGGTCAGCGATCAGTTAATTAATGTTATGCACGGATCGGACGGATATGTATATAATTAAAATTCTTATGTAAAACGAACCTCACAGTATTTACATTCGATAAACGCGGACCTTTACGAAGACACCTTTACTCGTTAATTTGTATTCAACTTGATCTCAATAACACATACAGAATTATAAATTACTTTTTAAGGATCATATGATGACTGCTTTAGCCATATTTTGACTATTTTATTTATAATGTCTGTTTTGTTCACGTATCGTTGTAAATATAACGGAATTTGATAAGACTGTCGTACAAGTGAGAGGTTTAGCGCTATAAAACCAGGTTCAATCTACCATTTTCTACATTTGAAAATGCCTGTACCAAGTCAGGAATATGACAGTTGTTGTCCATTCGTTTGATGTGTTTTGTCATTTGATTTTGCCATGTGATTAGGGACTTTCCGATTGAATTTTCCTCGGAGTTCAGTATTTTTGTGATTTCACTTTTTATGTATTACTTCATATTCTCTTATTTTAGTTTCTGCCAAATAAACATAAGTGCAGAATAACGGCATTCTAAGTATACTTATGTACCACTTAAAAGCGATAAATTGTTATCATTTAAACTAAATACTCTATTTAGCAATTATGAATTTTAATGTCACTAGATGATGAATATATAAATAAAATAACAGTAAAGAAACTTAAATATTTGTTTGGGTTGATTAAGAGTGTTGTTTTAACTTTTTTAATTTTTTTTTTAGATAATGCAATGCTATTTGTAATAAGTAGTTTTTAAAGGCCTCAAGATAAGTTTTGTTTTAGAATTTTAATATAATAAAAATTAAAATACTTAAACTTTTGTTTGTGTCGAATATGAGTGTAATAATTTCTTTATTTAGAAGTTATGAACCGCTATTCGATTTCAGTATTTTTTGTTCATCAGGATTGGTTGTTTCTCATAAAATATGCTGGATTTTTAGGGAAAAGATACTTAATATTTGAAAGTGCTGCTTAACAATGTAGATACTTCTTCTCATATATCGGAAATAATGCAACATCAATTGCAATCAGTCATTATAAATGCCTTTAGATAAGTAATTTGTATAAAATGTGAATAATTGAAGGATAAATATGCATAAACGTTTGTTTTTGTTGAACAAGAATGCAATCATTTCTTCAATCCAATGGAAATCATTGACCGCCATTGGATTTTTGTACTTTTTATAGTTAAGGATTGGTTGTTTTTCATAAAATTTTAAAAATATCAGAGAAAATATGCTGAAATGTTGTTCGCATTGTTTAAAATTACCAGTTTTCTTCTTTTGATGAAAATGATGCAATTTTTTTGGTATCTAGTTTTTTCAAAGGCCTTAAGATTAGATTTTTTTTATGAGAATTTAAAAAAATATAAGGAAAACATACCTAAAATGTTGTTTGTGTTTAGTATGAATGGACAAATTTCTTTATTTTGATAGAAATTATGAATCGCCATTTGATTTCAGTATTTTTTGTACATCAGGATTGGTTGTTTTTCTAAAATTATGCTGAATTTCAGGGAAAGATACTAAATTTGTGTTCGCGTTCCTTAAACATGCAAATATTTCTTCTTTTATAACAGAAATAATGCAACGTCAATTTCAATCAGTCATTATAAATGACGTTAGATA